CTCTCTCTCTCTTTGAGATATCTCACCATGCTGCCGAGGCTGGGCTAGAACCTGCAGTCTCCTGCCTCAGCCTCCCAAGTGCTAGGATTACAGGCATGTGCCACCTCACCGAGCTGAGGCTTTTCTTCTATTGAAACCAACTAGTTCTTCCCTCCCAGAAGTACCTTTCTTCAAGAAATCTCTGAACAGCACAAAGAACAGGCACTTTTCTCCACAGCTCTGGCGAAACATGGACTGGACAAGGCATCAGCAGATGGGATCTGGCATCTCAGCCCCTGGCAGTGGTGGCAGAGTGATGGTGACAGTGATGCCTTTTACCAGGTTCCCCCATGGAACCCCACATTCCCCACCGTAGTTCCACGATATTCCTACTTTACAGGGGGGGGGTTAGAAAGCTCAACTGCATACTCAGCAACAGAGAACAGCAGAGGTGGGATCGAGCCTAGGCCACTCAGAAGCTGTTGCCTTGTGGGTCCAGTCACAGAAGCTCCACTACTTCACTGGAGAATAATAAACTAAACACTTGACAAAGCATATGGTAGTGCATGCTTGTAATCCCAGCACTGGAGGCTGAGGCAAGAGGATCCCTGCCTGCCTGAACTACATATCAAGACTCTTGTCTCAAAAAAACCAAAACCAAAACAAATGCTTCACAAATCACTTTGAAAACATTCTGGTTTGAAATCACAAAAGTGTTTTATAGTTAGTATATTTTCATTGCTCAAAAGCCAAATATGAAATGGTGAAGAGTCTGGCTCCCATCCCTGCCCCCTTTATCTTCTCCCCATGCCAATTTTCCCTGTATAAGTAATATTTTCATTATTTGCTTAAGCAAATTCAGCAAATGTCCTATTCCCTCATCCTTGGCACTTGTGTGATCCCTGTTTGAGCACAAGGCGTCCCTGTGCCAGAGGTGCCCTTGTCTTCCCTGCAGCTGCCTCGTACCCCGGCACGGAGATTGCCATCATTTATTTAACAAGCCCCCTGTTGGCAAATATTAGCCTCCCACCAATCTTTTGCTCTTACAGGCCAGCAGGAAAAGGCGGATCCACAGTGCTATGTGTGCAGATGACAGAAGGCACAGTCAGTAGCAGGATCTCTTGGTTCCTCTGTTGTTCAATACTGTCATCCCTTACCCACTGTGTGTTTACTTGTTTGTTTTGGGGGAAGGGTCTCATTTTGGGGGAAGGGTCATCCTCAAACTTCAGGCTCAAGTGATCCCCCTGGGTAGCTGGAACCACAGGCCTGAGCCTACTTCCTTTTCCACTTTTCATGTTTAATGCAAGGAATTAATCAGATCTGGTTTAAAATCTTTACACCATCTTTGGAGCCTTCTGATCAGGAACCCTCTGCCCCTTAGTATCAGAGAATGAGAGCTTCGTTCCTTTTTATGTCTTTCATCTGGGTTCACTTTCAGGCTGCACTCTGCCTACACCCCTCAATCCACAGGAACATGCTGGTGTCTTAGAAGAGGTGCATCTGGGACAATGTATGTTGGACTGTGTGTTCACTCTGCTACATTTGTGCTATTTAAACCCACACAATTATATTCTCCAAGGCCACAGCTCAGAGATAATTTGCAACCATGGACAAAAAGGGAATGGGAGTCGGATTCCAAGGGCAAGCATCTCTGCACCTCAGGAGGGCCTTCCTAGCTTTCCTTTATTCTTGTAGAAGAGGAGGTGATTCTACAACCGGCCTTCAGGAGGCCCACAGAATTGGTATCCAAGATGGCCCTAGATCACCTCACTTCTCTTCATCAATACCTGAAAGTTCTCACTTTTACCTTCTCTTGGTCAGCAATTTCAGCAAGGCCAGATTCATTTGGGTTAAAATTATATCATTGAAGAGGTAAATAGTTTCAGTCATTCATGCTTTAAGGTAAATTGCTTTCCTCCATTCCTCTCTGCTAACCTCATGTAGAGCAGCTGGGGGAGTAGCAGGTCCTGAGGTGGAGCAGGGGAGAGGCAAGGGGAAGGTTAGGGACTCTGGATGTGGGAGGCTGAGAACTCTGGGCAGGGAGCAGAAATCAGACAAGCGGAAGAGAGAAGGAAGGCTCCCAGGAAGACTGCCTTCTTGGAATTTTGTCCAAGAGTAATCCTGCTCACTTGGACCGCTCTACTGAAAACTGTATCTGTGACTTAAGTCTGCACTTCATCATCAGCCTTACTAGCCTGTGTACCAAAACCAGAGAGGGCAGAACAAGGGCCAGCCAGAAAGTAAACTCTGTACGGACAGCTGTCTTGGTCAGCAGTTACGGTACTGTTAGCACCGTGGCTTAGCTGCAGTACATTGGGTATCACGGTCTGGATTTCAAACCTCAAACATCATTACACGCACATGGAGAGCACGAAGAAACAACTGAGATCCGAACACAGATTTTAAGGCGGGGCTCAGTGCGAAGGAGGGAAACAGAACACACGTTTTCGAAGAACGAAGTTAATTATTTCCCAAATAATCCAACAGAACACCTCAGCTTCCCGAACCTCTCTGCTCTCTCGCCTCACCCCCAGAAGCAGCCCCCATCTTCGCGCTTCCGGCCTTTGGGCTAAGATCAAGTGTAGAAGCGGCGTCCGTCTCTTTTACAGGGAGTGCGGAACTGCCTGGGGCGGCCAAGCAGCCCACCTTCCGGCATCCAGGGTCCGTGCCCTGACAGCCCACCATCTAGCAATCCGGAGTCCCCCGCGCACAGCACCCTGTGTGTTCAGAGCTGGGCGTGCCTGGCACGGTAGCAACAGCAACACCATCCCAGGCCCCAAACTGCTTCTGACACCTGCATGTGATCAGTTTCACTTCATCCCTATTCGAGGGTTTCTTTCTCTGCCAACCGTAGCTTGTACCACACATTGATCTCATCTTCTCATACATTCTCCAAATATTTGGAGCATTGATAATATTTGTCCAATGATATCCTGCTGAGATCCACTTCCAGCCTCTTCTTAATACATTTTTAACTACAGAAAAGTGTTTGATTTATACAAAAGTTATAAAAATAGAGCGGAGACTTCTCATACGCCTCACACTCAGGCTCACCGCTGCTGATTCTATATCGATGTGTTATTATTAACTACATTCCACAACTCATCTGGACTTTCTAAGTCTTTCCCAGATGTCCTTTTTGTAATCCAAAATCCTGTCCAGGGTGCCACATTACATTTAGTTTTCTTCGTAGGCTCTTTATTAACTGGAAAAATTTGTGATTAACTTTTTGGAAGAGAGCCATTCTGTACACAATCTATAACAGACCCCCTCAAGCCCCCAAATAATGCATTAAGTCATAATTATTCACATACGTTAACACGACACTACATAAAACAAGCATTTTTGAAATTGTGCACTACTTTGTATTTACTTTCTGTGATAAAACTATTAATTAAGTGATACAACAATAGGAATAGTTAACAGTGCCAATTAGCCAAAATTAGTAGTACTAACTAGACAAATACATTAGAAAAACATAACCATATTTTGAAATAAACTCTTTACTTTACAATAGATTTTTTCAGGTTCTATTTTATATTTGTGGTGCACTTCACTCTTTTCTGGAAGCCCCTGGGGCTGAGCTGCAGAAAGCCAGGTGCCTGAAGAACATTTCTAGGAGCATGCTGGTGACCCCCAGAGAATAGAAGCCAACAAGTCAGATCGGTTCCTCTTTTTTTTTAAACTTATTATGTAGCCCAGGTTGACCTAGAACTCTCAGCAATTCTCCTGCTTCAGCCTCCCAAATGCTGGAATTAAATGCCTTGCTTTTAATCGTTGACAATCATTACTTGGGTGAACTTGATAACACTGAATTTTCCTGCGCCATACTTTTTCCTCCTGCAAAATGCAATTATCTTTTTATAATCATTTGACAATTAACATACTTTGCAGGCCTGATTGCATCTGACACTACAAACAAGCTCAATGGGGCAGGTACAGTATTTCCATCCACCAACCAAACTGACTTTGGAACTAATGGGTGCTGTGGACTGAGTGGGTCTCTGTGTTCTCTTCCTCCCTTCCTTTTGCCAGTGCAACCTTGACTCTCTAGCTACCTTCCCTCCCCACCCACCTCAGTGGTGAGTCCTGAACAACGCAAGCCATGGTAAGTTTATTCTCTTGGTCAGGGGTTGTTTAGGGGCAGATGAATGATCTGGTTCTGACTGGTTGTCTTAGTTACATTTCTCATTGTTGAAACAAAATATCCAACACCCAAAGTTAAAGGAGGAAAAGTTTCTTGTAGCTCACAGTTTGCAGAGGTTTCAGGTCATAGTTGCCTAGATCCAAGGCAGGGTAGCATGGCAGAGGGGAATTGCAGAGGAGAAATAGTTCATGGCAGGCAGAAGGCAGCAAAGCAGCAGGCAATGAACTGCAAGTGACAACAGCAGCCTTCTCTCTGTCTCTTATATTCCCTAAGGGTAGGTAGCACTCACACCTAGGGTGAAGAACCCTTAATCCTAACATTGCACCATGAGTCAATCCCAGCACCATATCATTAATCCAAGCATCATACATTCTACATCCAGCCACCTAGGAAAAATCCCACCTATGACCACATGAGGCTTGGGGGGAACATCTACATATGAGCCATAACACTGATGAAACCAAAATGTGGCCTGTTGGGGATGGAGAAGTAGGCAGGAGCAAAAAGGAGTTCTAGGGTATCTTCCAGACCTGAGAAAGACACCAAGATGAGAGTCATTGGGGCCTTGTGCCTCATCTGGGGCCTGGACCTGAGAGAATCGTCCTATAATTCTGAGGAACTGGCCTGGAAGGAAGGAGCCTGCACACTGGGATGGCAGAGGGAAAGCAGAAGAATGTAGGGCCTTAGCTGGGTGTGGTAGCCCACACCTATATTCCCAGCACTCTGGAGGCTGAGGCAGGAGGATCGCCATGAGTTCAAAGCCAGCCTGAGCTACAAACTGAGTTCAAGGCCAGCCTGATCTAATGAGACCCTGTCTCAAAAAACAAAAAGAACGAGGGCCTTGATGCTGAGCCACCAAATTAGCCAGGCTCAATCCACCTTTGTGATATATGAACTAGCATAACTCCTAATTGGCTTCCACAGTTTCCTGCTCTTTGCAGCAGAAAACCTGTATCATGTGTCGAATTTTGCAAACTCAAGTTCGTTTAATGCCGAAATGACCCTTGGCTTGCCCCCATGTGAGTTTCAGCTCCCTCTGATTGCTCCTCCTGAGGCAGCCATTTGCAGCCTCTCCCAGACATCAGAATCACGCGGCTGCGTTCAGAGTACGTCAGGCCCTCATAGGTCTGCAGCTATCAGCCTCAGCTGGGCTCTGCAGAGTGACTTTTAAAAATCTCCCCAGGGAATTCCAGTATGGAAACCGCTGGTCTGAAGGCTGGAAAGGACACAGAAGATCCATTTTAGGAAGCCCTTTGCTTCCTTAACTCTGTCCTGCCTCACAAACCCCACTGCATTCCCCAGCACCTCCCAAATGCAGGAGGCTCACACATCCTACTTTACCAGGGACAGTCCAGTTTATAACCAACCATGAGCCATCAAAAGCCCCTTACTCTCTCAGAACTGTCCCAACCCGGGTGACCTGTTTGTTGCTGTTTACACAAAAGGATTCTTAGTGGTTTCTGTTTCATGGCGCCCCTGCTTCACTTTGGCATGTGTCTCACCTGGCTCCAGTCTGAGGGTCTGGAGTGCCAGGGCCCTGAACAGTGTGCAGAAATTTGTAGTAAATGCTGCAATTCCCAGCCTTGGGACTTTTGATTTAGGGTACAGAAAGGGCAAGTGGGGACTAGGCAAGAATTTCAGATATCTCGTATTGAGTTGTGTCATGTCCTAAATTACTTGTTACCACTCTGGTGACTGGTAACTGACCCAACTGGCCCCAGTTCTAAATTCTAAGTGATGCCCCCAGGAACACACATCCAGCTGCTGCTCCTCACACCTGGAGAAGGAAACTGCACCAAGGGAGCTGTGGCAGCAGAAGAGAACTCTTGCTCTAAGAGCCAAGTGATACTCAAAGCAGAGAGCAGGAGGAGCTGAGAGGCCTGAAAAACAGGAACTGAGGGAGAAACACTCTGTGGCTTTCGAGTGGGGTGATGAAGTGTGAAAACTGGGGTGGGATTTCTGAGGCTCCCAGGTGGCGAAGGCATGGGCATCGAGGGAACAGCCATGTACACAGTGGCAGGCCAAGTACGGTGCTCACTTCAGAGAGTAGTGAATCTCCTGGGGGAAAGGGAAAGAGGACTTAGGGACTGCTTATCGGCCTCAAGAACCTGGGATGAAGATTGCTCAACAAGAAGGGCCCACATCCTGCCCCTGTCACGCTCTTGGGCAGAGCCCTGGACGTTTAGAGAGATCGCTCTAAGAGGTGGCAACGCTGATGGCTCTGAGCACTGTCTGGAAATGCTGATCACTTGTTCAAGGAATTTCAATATTAGAGAACTTCTGGAGTTCTCATGGCCAACCCAAGACTGAAGAGAATCTGGTGGACAAGTTGTTGCTCTTGTTCCAGAGGCTCAACTAGGGACTGTGTTGGCCAAAACTACCCCAAAACAAAGTGGCTTCCCACAGCACTGCCATTTCTTTCTTTGTAATTTTGATTCTAGGTCAGCGTTAGGCTGGCACAATCCAGCTCTGCTCCCTCTAGCACTACAGGGACAGCTGGCTGGGCATGGAGAGCTCGGCTGGTGCTGGCAGGCAGGGTTGCTGATTATCCTCTACCCCAGCCCTCTTATAGGGGCTCACACTCTGTCAACACAGAGGTTGGGCTCCAAGAGGGACAAAGAGGAGGTTTCCAGTCCTGTTTAGAGACAAGGCCTAGAATCAGTGTCAACATCACTTTATAGGTCACAGCAGCAGCAGACCCAGGCCATAGACAGAGGGGTAGAGAAAGAGGTGCCAAGTCCTAGTGACAAAAGTGACACAGAATCTGCCGCCATCTTCACATCTGTGAGTGAACCACAGGAAAGGCTAATGACAGCAGATTAAAACAACTGACTGTGGAAGCCCAGCTTTGTGGCTGTCAGGGAGAAGTGCCTGGCCCTACCAGGAGGAAGGAAAGGAAAGCTGGGAAGTTCAATATTTCTGACAATTCACTGGGAAGTCTTCAGAGAAAAGACCATTTTCATTATCGCAGTGAGTGTAATTCTCACCCCCCTGGGCTTGCTGCTAAATTTGTGCAGCCAGAGGAACAAAAGCAAAAACAAAAACCTATCTATGGCCAAAGAAGTCATAGACATGTATTTATTGTTCCTGGATATTAATATGTATGTAATTTGAAAACATTAAGTTAAAACATTTACCATGCACAAAATAGTTGAGTAGGGTCCTATGGCAAATATAAAGTTATACAAAACATGGCTCTGTTCTTCAGCAGCTTTTCACTGACTGAGCAAGTACTAGTTAGGCATGTGCCCACGCTGTGTTAGCCGCTCCTGGCTGGGCAGGCAAAGCTGGACAACACCACTGCCTCTCTCTTGTGGAGCTCATAGTCTAGGCGTGGAGAAAGACATGGACGTAAATGCTGTCATCCTGCTTCACAAGTTTGACCCAAGCTCTGGAAGTGATAAGTTCTGTATGTATATGAATGAAGGAAGAAGGAACATAAGCAATCCAAAAGGTTAATGGTGGGATTAGGGGAGGGACTTTCTTTTCTTTACACTTTCTACTTGAGGATGTTTTTTAAAATAAGCATACTTTTTGGTTTGAGAGTTTATGGTTTTGTTGTTGTTGCTGTGTGTTTGTTTGTTTGTTGCACAAGATCTCACTATGTGTTCAGGCTGGACTTGAACTCACTATGTAGCCCAGGCTAGCCTTGAAATTGTGGTGATCTTCCTGCCTCAGCCTCTCTAGTACACCACCAAGCCCAACTTTAAAATAGCTTAAAAATAAGCGTTACCTTTAAGAAAAATCCTGTTTTTAAATTTAGAATAGTGTTTCCATAGAGAAATGGCTAGTATGTGCTGGAAGTGCCTCCCAGAAAGACGGGAGGGAAGATCACATCAGACTCTTACAAGATGTCATGGCCAAGCTGTAGCTTTGAAGAGTAGACAGAAGTTGTGGCTGCTTGTCTTTGGGGGTTGTGACTCCTAATTGGGAGGAATTCTTCATTGTGTGTGGTGCTGTTGAATCTATAGAGATTTGCCCCCTCATAAAAAGTCAGAGACGTAAGAGACTACATTTCCTTCCTGCAAGCCAAAGCAAGTGCCTAGACCTGAATTTACTCTCCCCAGCTCCCTGCCCAGGACACTGAATCCGGATGGAGCTAGAGCACGAGAAGAGGTGGGTAGTATTACGTCCATGGATGAGGACCTTCACAACGGTGGTGGCCAATGGCCACCATGCCCAGCTGCAATGGCGTCCTAATCTTAGTAAGAGCAGCCATGTTTCTTACACACATTCCTGTCTATATTCCAATTTTGATTCTTTAGCCTATTTCTCTGTGGGCCCCGAAATCCTTCTAACAAATCGCTTCAGAATAGACAAGGTTGGAGGGCAGGTGTGGTGGTGAACACCGGTTAGCCTGGCACAGGCTGAGAATTGCCACAAGTTCAAGGCCAGCTTGAGGTTCTGCTATTAGAACAATTGACTGGTACAAGAGTTGTCTAGGCCAGGTGCAGGATGGGCAGAAATGTCACGGTCTGCGCCAGACAGAAAAACCAGAGAGCTCATGAGGAATATCTAGATGTATATATTATGTTTGCTTGTTTGCTTGCTTGTTTGTTTGTTTTTCCTGAACCAGTGATCAAACTCAGGACCTTGCACTTGAGAGACAGGCATGTCACCACTGAGCTAAACCCCTAACCCCTATATTGTGTTTTTAAAGTGTGTTCTGAGTACTGTACAGTTAAACTTTACTTTGTAAGTAATTGTTCTGTGAGTGGTCTGCAAGACAAGCAAACTTTTCTAATAAAGTTTAACTTGATACATGAGCAATTGTCTTGCAGTACAAGTAGGGTATGATGCTAAATGTCACGGGAACCAATGGTTCTTCCCTCCCTGCAGGATTGACTCCCCATAGCAAGAAGTCATGGAGGAGATCTCATCTGGAGAGGAGGAGGAAAAGGCAGAGGAATCTCTCAATTCAAATGAGATTAGGGAGCTGTATAAAGTATTGGAAACTGCAA